AATTGATTCATAGTAATGCAAATGCATTACAGAAACAAGAGACAACAATGACATATTAGATATTCAGAATATGCACACTTTAGCACGCTGATTTTAAAATCATACCTTGCATTGACTCTTGCTTTGAAAAACAAAAGAACCAAATGTTAAATAATTCAGTAACAGGTTCAAGGGCAGGATCTCACAATAAGGTCAGCTGACTCAGAAAAGGTATTTGATAAATCTTAACTGACACAGGTGAAGGCTTGGCCCCACTGCAAGACTTGTTATCTTCTTCTTTTAAGGTGTATCAGTGTAATTGTCTCAAATTTAATTTTCTTTTGCCATAATTTAGGAGAATTTTTTTCCATATTTTAGAAAAAGAAATGTTCAACAACTGATTCACATTTGGAAAGGTTGGTATAATTATCACTGAGGCCAGGAAAGTTTGTTTCTGGAAGTAACAGGAGTTTGCATAATGATTACCTTAAATGGGCCACTAAAATAAGCTACAACAGGGTCAAAAAAGAGACATCACAGATGCCACTGAAGTAGAAAACCCCATCAACCTTTAAAAGTAGAAGCCTCCATGTTGCCTTGCAATCTGCTGAAAAAGACATTTTTGAATTATTTTGAGTGAAGCACACACAGAGATCCAGCACATTGGGGTTTTGGTGGCTCAAAGCCCCAAAGTCATCCCTCCACCTTTACCCACCCTGCACTCTGCCCAAGCAGCTCATTCTCACACCCCACTGGACAGCAGCTGTGAAAGGCCAGAAAAAAGGGACAAAAGCCATTGATAGGAATGGGCTGAGCTGCATGGAAGCCCCCAGGGGGGGAAAAAAGACAAAAGAAAAAGAACCAGGAAAATCTGGATGTGTCCTGAAGGCACAGCCAGTGCAGAGAATGCAGGCTGGGCCATGGCCACGTTTTGTGCCACAGGAGACACATCCTGGCTGGTCTAAATCTCTTAAAGAAAGAGATTCTACAGCTGACAACTGCATAAAATGATCATTCTTAGTAAGATTTCAAAATAACAAAAAGACTGCAGCTAAATTTTGTGCTCTACAGTACAATTACTCCTTCAGAAACTCTAGGTGAAATACGTACAGACACAGAAATAAAGCATTAAAGAGAATTAAAATGAAACTTGCCATGTTTGCAGGCTCAAAACTGAAACTTTTAGACATGTGATATGAAGAGTGCTGTGTGGGCTGACAGAAATCACTCAGTGGGATCCCCCACACCAAGCCCTCTGTGGGTTATGGGAACAGGAATTTGGGAGGAGGGCAGCAGGAGTCGATCCCTGGAAATGCCACTGCCCCTGTTCCCAAATGGCAGAGCTCCTGATGGGCTCCAGTGGCACTCAGTACGCACTGAATGCACTCCCCAGAGCTGTGTGGCACTGCAGGGACCAGCCTGACACAAGCTGTCACACAGGACATGACACAGGTGTCATTTTCTGCCTGCTTCAAGCTCCCAACAGCTTCTCACATGATCATGCATTATAAATGGATGTGCACACAGAAATTCCTGAGCAGCTGCACCCCATGGGGCTGTTCTGGTAGGAAATAAAGGAAATCCAAGGAAGGATGGAGACTCTCTTTAGTGCTGTATTCACAGAAATATTTTTTATAGTCTTTTGCAGCAGTAGCCAGATTAGGTTCTAGTTGGACTTTGGCCCTTCTAATTTCTCCTTGAATAACCTCACAGTGTCCCTGTAGCCCTGCTGGGCTGCCTGCCCTTTCTTCCAAAGGTCACACACCTGGTTTTGTTCCCTGAGCTCCAGCCAAAGCTCTCTGCTCAGCCAGCCCAGTCCTTCTGCCGCTCTGGATATCCTTTGGTACATGGGCATGGATGTCCTGCTCCTGCTGTGCCATTAGGATTTCCTTAAGAATCTCTGCGTCTGCCTGGACCTCTCTGACCTTCAGGGCTCCCTCCCAAGGGACTCTGCCAGCCCAGCTCTCAAGCACAGTCTGCCCTGCAGAAGTTCTGCTGCCACCCCTCCATCTCCCCAAGAACCAAAACCTCTCACTTCAAAACCTCTCCCCAAGAACCAGGAACCTCTCACCTCAAAACCTCTCCCCAAGAACCAGAACCTCTCACTTCAAAACCTCTCCCCAAGAACCAGAACCTCTCACTTCAAAACCTCTTCCCAAGAATCAGAACCTCTCACTTCATGTTCACTGTGCCCAAGACCATCTCCAACAACCCCATCACCCACCAGAACTTCTCTGCTGACACACAGGGCCAGTGGGGCATCACCAGGGCCTGGTTCCCTCACCAGCTGGGTCAGGAATTACCTCCCACACAACCCAGGAACCTCCTGGATTTTTTGCTCTCTGCTGTGCTGTGTTTCCAGCAGACATTTGGCAAGTTAAAGTCTCCCACAGGAAAAGGGGCATCAATCAAAAGACTTCCAATGGAACATTTCATCTACCTCTCCATCCTGGCTGGGTGGTCTGTAACAGATTCCCACCAGGATACCTGCTGTGCTGGCCTTCCCCAGTTCTTAGAACCCCAAAATCCACCCAGCACTGTGTAAATAGGTCACCTCTGTGAGGAGCACTGGGGTGGCACAGGTCAGGATGTACCACACTTCCTGACAGAAACAAGTGATTAATAAAACATTCCCTTCTGCTGAGAACACAGAGTTTGCCACAGAAGTGTGGACAGAACTGTCAATCACCTGAGACAGCCAGTTCTTGCACTCAGGTTCATTATCTCCCACTTACATAACCAGCTCTCCCTGGTACATGTGCACATATTCCTCTCTTTTAATTAAAATAGGTACTTTGTGCTTCACATTCTGAGAGCTGAAGGATTTCAGCACCAGTGCCCTTCCACTCCCTTTGGCCAAGTAAAATTTGGCATTTTCCACATCCAGTTCTTTCAGGATGGCCTCTCTTTTTGACCTGTAACAATGGAACCTTCTCAATTTCTTAAGAGTAGGATCTGCTTTCCAAATCTTTTATTTAATTGTAAATAATAATGCTTCAAGTTATTTTTAAGAACCTTCAGGGTTTTTCAGATCATATGCAAGTTTCCACAAAGAAAAACAACAAAAGAAGTGTGAAGGACCTAAAGTCTTAACTACTGCACACAGTAAGCAAAGCAACATCTCAAAACAAGTTAAAATAGAGTAAGGAAGCCAACAGGACATTAAAGTCTCCCTGCAATCCCAACAAAAATCATACATTCAGTTTTCAAGTGAAACCTTTAGCCTCTGACACAATCTTTAGCCAGGCTGTGACTGGTTCAAATGGTAATAGCGGCATTGATTTCAGAGTGTTTATGGCTCTTTATATATGGCTATAAAACTGAAGGTTTGAAAATTGAGCCTTTGAAGCCTTCAGAATCTTGCTGGCCTTGTTATTCTTCCAAGTGAAACCTCCAGAGCTTCCCAAAGTGCTGCTCAACACAAGAGCACCTGCTCAGCCCATTAACCTGGGGATGTGTTTTGTACCAGCCTGTTGGAATTTATCTCCATGTAAAGAGAAAAAAAGCCAACCTGAGACTACATTAAAAATCTCTGCAGTAGATGAAGACATAATTGGGATGGATTTTAAATCCTTCTGTCCCAAAGCAGTGACAAAAGAGAGATCATCAGTTAATTTGTGAGTGACGGAGAGAAAAAATTATTATCTCATCTATGTGTATCACTGAGTCTCCAGAGAATTATTTCTTTACTGGGATACTACAGCCTGAAAGCATTTCTAAGAATAGTAACTTCCAGCTAAATGCTGCCAGCAGAAGGCTGGAAAAAGCATATCTAACAAAAAAAGGAGTGATAAAAATATTCCCAGAGCAGGAATTTTCTCAGGAACACCCGTGGAGGACCAGATTTTTGGCTGCCATAACACAACACAAATTTATAGTACAGGAGGACATGCTGGAGGCTAAAAACATAAAATGAGACAGTCTGAAACCAGAGGAACAGGCACAGATAACAAGCATCCAAGGAATTTATACAGCTAAAATTGGTGTAGATGGGAGAGAGCAGCATCCTGCAAGATGTCAGTGTGGGAATGGAGCAAAGTCACCTCACCTGGAGCACTGCAGGCATTGCCAGGGTGTATTTGGTAAATGGAGATGGTAAACACAAAAAACATCAACCCTGAAGGTACCCAGTGCCGGGGATGCCACATTCTTTGACCTCAGCTTGGAGCACAAGTCTGTAACCCAAGAGGAATTTGGCAAATGTCTTTGTCTGCTTGCAAAAAGTGTTTGAGCTGCCTGTCACAGTCACAAATATGCTGAGAGTCTTGAAATAACCAAGGCACGTTGTGCTAAAGGGATTTCAGCCTGTGCCTTGTTTAAAAACTGCTCACAGCTATGAGTATTATTTGGAATAGCTCAAATTCTTTATTTCTCAAATCTGACAGCCATATAGGCTTGTACCTGCTTGTGATTATGCCTGGAAAAGCTGCAGAGCTGTACAAAAGCTTTTTGAGAAAGAACAGAAACAAAAATTATGCAAAGAGGCCGTGCAAGGAATTTGGAGTTTTTTTCAACAGTAAAGATTGATTTTGCTTTCACAGGTAAACCTTATTTTCAGGGAAACTTCAGCCAGCCTTCCTAAAACATGGGACTTGATTTAAAGCCTTCCAGACCCCAGGCTTGGTTCAGATGTCCTGAGTTTAACAGATACCTGCATTCTGTGTCTGTATTGGTAAATCAAACAGAGCCTGGGCACGGGCCAGGAAAACTGGGAAACAATTTTCTTCCCTGCTAAATGGGAAAGCTGCAGCCCAGCAGAGCCAGAGCTTTTGCAGACAGTGTTTGGGCTGTGTGAAAGTCAGTGCAGGGCCCATTCCTGTTATCCCCAGTTTGAGGACTAACAGAGCTGGGCCTGGCACTATTTATTCCACTAGGATAGACACAGCCACGGAGTCTTGGAAAAGTTTGTGGATTTTTGAATGTTGGGGGCCAGAAGATGAACCAGGTCCCTCTTATCTACCCTGCTGCCATGAGCTGCTGGGCTCCTCAAGGGTTTGCTGACATTGAGCTGCCTCCAGCCTGATGGGAATAATGCATTTACAGAGCATTCGGGCCTCTGGGACACCCAGATAAATTCACAGTTGTGGCAGAAAGCCCTGCAATTTGCACAAAAGCTCACCAAGGTGTCCAGCATGAGCATGGTGGCTTCACTTTAGGCTGAAAATCCAAACCCATGAAAATTCACATCAGCTTGGAACCAGAATTGCCCCTGCCAGATTTACACAGGTGAGATATCCAAAATAACAGTTTCATTGGTGTTCAGAGCCATTGATTCTCATGCTGTGCATGGAGACTTGGGGATGAGAACAAAACTGCCTGGCACAATGAGAGCTGTAGCGTTTCAAGGTCATTTGTGTGTTTTTGGGAGGGTCCCACACAGAGGGTGTTGCAGATGCAATGAACACCTCTGGATGAGGCAGTCACAGGTGTTTTAACACAGCAGCCCAAGCTTTGATCTGTGGACAGCTCTTGCACTCCTTCAACAATCACTTTAGGGACAGATCCTGCTTGCACAATTTAATTAAAAATAAGCCTTGGAGTGCTTTGATTTTTCTTTCAGTGGCAGGAGGTAGATCAAACAGATAATGAACAGAGCTAGTATCCCAAAATATCACAAATACTAAGGATTTAAAGACACTGCAAAAGAATATATTTTTCAACCATTCAGTGACAGCTTGACCATGTCTAACTGCATGTGCTATCCAGTGCTGCTTCCAAATGGGACCACAGGTTAATGCAGATTCAGAATCTGCCTTTTCCTCCTATCATTACAGTTTTCAGATATGAGACCAGCTCGACAAGTAAAGCACCAGAATTCTAAATTCAGACAGAAACAAAAATAATTACTTGAATCGCTTTAGGTTTCTTTTAAAAAAGTATCCATATTAAAAAGATATCTTTACCTTATTAATACATTTACAGACTTTTAGCCAGAAGGGGGTAATTCTGTGGAAAAGAATTGCAAAATAATACATAGAAAACTGCAAAGATGAAATTTAAAAAGATGAGATAATCTTATTTTCTTTGCATTTCTCATTTTGCATCTCACTACCTTGTCAACTAGAGGTGACATGACACTATTCCGGCCACCAGGATCCTGGTGACCTTATCCCAAAATTGGTTTTCATAAGGAAAGCTCCTGCAGCCAGGTTTCTTGTGACAGTTACACTGCCTCTGCATTGATATCCTGTGGTGTAAAATTCCCTTCTATAGTTCTTCTTCCTAGTTAAAGCTAGAAAGTGTAATGAAAACATGACCCAACCCAACTGGACTGATTGGCTTAACACTGGATGTCCACTATCCCATTGTGGCTGTCCATGGGCTCGGTCAGGACAGCATCTGGCTGTGCCCAGCCTGGGGACCAGCCTGCCACAGTGAGACAATGTCAAGTGCCCTCTATTTGATGCCTAAAGTTCTCCTACTGCCTCGGTTCAGCTGCTTCTCCTTTACCTCTCCGCTCGGATTTTGTATCTGAGCACAAAATAGGCAATCAGGCGCAGAGAGAAGAAGAAAATCCCAAGAACGATGAAGTCCAGGTAAAGTTTGGCATTTTCTACGTCCAGTTCTTTCAGGATGGCCTCTGATTTTTGGAAGTGGCAGGTGTCATCTTTGTCACAGTGCAGATCTTCTCGGTCCAGTCCGTAGATGGAGAGGATGACGCCTTCGAACCCGTATCTGGAGGGAGGAAGGAGGGATTACAAGGGAAATCCTGGTGATCTGGTGGGAAGTGCAACACAACCCCTGTGAGAGCTCAGCTGAAACGCTGAGGGGGTCAATATTGCTCTGACACATCTGTCTTGGGGCAAGTTCTATCCCTGCTGCAATCGGGCACATCACGCGTCACGGGCATTTTATGTAAGAGGGAACAAGGGCAGGAGCTTTGCCTTTAATGCTTCCAGTTGGTACACAGAGCAATTTCTCCAAAAGAAAAATGTTAATTCAGAAAGCAGCATGATTTCAGCTCATATTCAGAATTTCCCCATTTAAAATTGACATCATTATTTTGCCTTTTTTAATTTTTTAACAAGCAACAGGGATACAGTTATGGTTTGAAGTCAGAAAAATACTAAAACCAGCATCAATCTAGAATGTCCTTCTCCTTCCCTCTGTAGCTTCCAGTTAGTGCACAGAGCAATTTCTCCAAAAGAAAAATGCTAAATTAGAAAGTATCGTAATTTCAGCTCACATTCAGAAATTGCCCATTTAAAAGTGACATCATTATTTTGCCTTTTTTTTTAAATTTTTTTAGCAAGCAACAGGGATACAGTTATGGTTTGAAGTCAGAAAAATGTTAAAACCAGCATCAGTCTAAAACATCCCTTCTCCTTCCCTCTGTACATTCACAGTTTCACTGCTAATGTTCCCAGTATTTGCTTTTGCAAGGAGATAAACCATCATGGATCTCATGTTAGTACACAGAGCAATTTCCCCAAAAGAAAAATGTTAAATCAGAAAGCAGCGTGATTTCAGCTCATATTCAGATATTCCCCATTTAAAAGTGACATCATTATTTTGCTTTTTATTTTTTAACAAGCTACAGGATATAATTATGGCTTGAAGTTAGAAAAATCTAAAAACCAGCATCAATCTAGAATGTCCCTTCTCCTTCCCTCTGTACATTTACAGTTTCACTGGTAATGTTCCCAGTATTTGCTTTTGCAAGGAGATAAACCATCATGGATCTCATGATGGTTAATCTGATCTGCCTATGAAAGCTCCCTCTTTGTGGCTTCAGGAGACCCCACATGAGCCAGGCAATGATTTAAGGCCTCACCTTGAATTCTATGTATTAATTCAGGGGGTGCAGTCTCATTTTCTTTGATAGGAATTTGCATAGGACCTCACTTGGCAACAAAGAGGATTTTTTTTTGCCTGGGATTTCTCAGTGCAGAGTGGGGAAATGGGGAATGGGAAAATTCCCCTCTCCTAATTTCAGCTAAAACCATTTCAGTCTCTAGTCTAAACTATCCCTCCAGAGGTTTCCTGATGGGAATTGCCCCATCCTAAGACAGTTGAGTCAGACACAGACACAGGCACTATAAGGTGCCTATGGATCCTAAAGCAGCAGTTTAAATTAGAGGTGACACAAATCCTGTGCCTCTTGTGCCAGTGCTACTGCAAAACTCAAAAACAGGCCTTTATCCAACAAGCCTATCTGGGATACATCAGTGAATTATACATTTTCTTCCCAAATGAGGTGCTGGCATCAATTCCTCAGTTGGTGATGCCCCCATTATTTTATACATCCACTGTTGCAAAATCCAGGAAGATTTTCACGCTGTGCAATCCCACTGAATTCAAAGGGACTGACACGGAATTGTGGCCATCAACCTGTTTCTATTTATTTCACAACATCAACAGCTTAAAATGCAGAGAAATAATATGGTTTACATCACATGTATGAGTATGTTTATACTCTAAGAGAACATGCTGTGAACGGTCCCTTTGGCACCCAAAATAACCAAGCAAGCAAGCCAAGGCAAACAAGCAGCATGTCCAGATGGGAGGGTGAAGGGCTCCCCAGCAGTACCTGACATAGGAAATGTAGGACATCCACTGGAGGTATGTTGGGATGGTGTCAAAGCTGACAAAAAACCCAGAGAACAGCAGGACTGGGATGGCAGTAACCGGGCCCACAAAGGTTGCCACCTGTGCAGAGAAGGAACAGTGTCTCTTGTCAGAAAAACAGAGAAAAAGTAAAAATTAACTTGCTCTTCTATGACTCCTAGGAGTAATTCTACTGCCCCAAATTATCACTAGAAAATTGATGATTTTTTTTTCTTGTGAGGGGAAGAGCAGCAGCACAGAGATCATGCAGTAAGGCTATGCTGGTCCCCTCAGCGTGGCAAAGAGAGGGAATCAAGTGTTCTACTGCAGAAATCTTGATGGCATCAATGCATATTGAGGTCAGAATCATCTGTGGAATGGTCACCTCAGCACATCTCCTGCCAGGAGTTACATGGCCAGCTTCCAGCCATGCCAACAGCTGACACTCTTCCTCCCTTTCCAGAAATTTGGGTTATGAGCAGCCTTTTCCTACCTTTCCTTCAACAGCTTTTCTGGATGTGTATGGAAGAACCTTCTGAGCTACTGTGGAAAGTTTCCAGTTTGTGGGGATGCAGAAACACATCAGTCCTGCAGTTCCCAGGACCTGCCCAGTCTGGGATGGACCGCAAGTGAGAACTCACCCAAGCAGGGGCAGGCACAGCCCCTTCAGGTGGGGCAAGACCTTCAGAGCCTCCCATCCAGGGCAGGTCTGTGTTCTGGGGTGAGGGGGGAGCAGCAAGAACTCTGCTACAGCAAGAAATTTCTGCCTGTCACCTCAACAAACATCCTGGGGACACAGCAGCCATGACAGGGAGCAGAGTTAGGGCACAGCAGAGCTCCTGTGAGACCACAAAACACCATCAGAACTGTTTTAATTTGTAAAATGTAGCTGGGGGTATGTATTCTATCCCCATCTGTCAGAGCTGGGGCAGTTCTCTGCTGTTCCTGGGGCAGTTTTTCCTTTCTCTCTCCCACAGCCAACCCTCCCTCCAGGAGATCTCTGCTGTCCATGGCCACTGAGTGTCCCTGCAGGGCTGATCCAATCCCAGCATCCCATGGGGAGATGCTCCGCCCAGGGGAGGAGCCAAGCATTCCTACCTGGATCCAATCTGGGCCTGGCACAGCACAGCAGCCTTTGCCCCCTGCATTGCCAGAGGAGCAGCTTTCTGCTGCCCTGCATTGCCAGAGGGAGCCCAGGCCCATCTGCAGCAGCCCTGGAGCTGCAGAGGAAAACTCCCCCCTTGTGCAGGATCCCTGCTGCAGCAGAGCCACAGCTGGCACTGCAGGAGGGCTGAGCCCCCATGGGATGGGGCTGGGACACCGTCCTGGCACACAGGGGACAGGGACTGCTCTGGCTCTGGCAGGGTTTTTGGTTTTTTTTGTTTGTACTATTGCATTTGAATTTTTAGTTTTCCTAATAAAGAACTGCTATTCCTGCTCCCATATCTTTGCCTCAGAGCCTTTTAATTTCAAAATTATAATAATTTGGAAGGAGGGGGTTTGCATTTTCCATTTCAAGGGAGGCAGGATGGCGGCAGCCACCATAGAATGGGACTGCTGTCACCACCCTGACCCACAGGCTGTCAGGTCCTGTTCTGACTCTGTCAGTGGTTTGGGGTTTTTTGTTTGTTTTTTTTTTGTTGTTGTTGTTGTTGTTTTGGTTTTGTATTATTGCATTTCTATTTTTATTTTTTCCCTAATAAAGAACTGCCATTCCTATTCCCATATCTTTGCCCAAGAACCCCTTAATTTCAAAATTATAATAATAATTTGGAGGGAGGGGGTTTACATTTTCCATTTCAAGGAAGGCAGGACGGCTGCAGCCACCATAGAATGGGACTGCTGTCACCACCCTGACCCACAGGCTGTCAGGGCCTATTCTGACTCTGTCAGTGGTTTGTCTTGGTTTTTTGGGTTTTTTTTTTGTTTTGTTTTGGGGTTTTTTGTTGTTGTTTGTTTGTATTATTGCATTTGTATTTATATTTTTTCCCTGTTAAAGAGCTGTCATTCCTATTCCCATATCTTTGCCCAAGAACCCCTTAATTTCAAAATTATAATAATAATTTGGAGGGAGGGGGTTTACATTCTCCATTTCAATGAAGGCAGGAGGGCTGCAGCCACCATTGAATGGCACTGCTGCCACCACCCTGACCCACAGGATGTCAGCACCTATTCTCACTCTGTCAGTGTTGCGGGTTTTTTGTTTGTACTGTTGCATTTGTATTTTTATTTTTACCCTAAGAACTGTTATTCTTACTCCCATATCTTTGCCTGAGAGCCTCTTAATTTCAAAATTACAATAATTCGGAGGGAGAAGGTTTGCATTCTCCATTTCAAGGGAGGCAGGAGGGCTGAGCCACCATGGAATGGCACTGCTGCCACCACCCTGACCCACAGGCTGTCAGCATCTATTCTCACTCTGTCAGTGTTGGGGTTTTTTGTTTCTACTATTTCATTTGTATTTTTATTTTTTTCCCTAATAAAGAACCCTCACCCTTCTCCAGGATCCCTGCTCCACCAGAACCACAGCTGGCACTGCAGGAGGCCTGCAGCCACCATATCTTTGCCTGAGTGCCCCTTAATTTCAAAATCACAGTAATTCATAGGGATGAGGTTTACATCCTCCATTTCAAGAGAAGCTCCTGCCTTCCTCAGCAGACACCTGCCTTTCCAAACAAGGACAAGTACCTGCAGGGACGTGGAGGCTGCCCCTATGAGCAGACCCAGGGACTGAGCCACCAGGGAGGTCATGGTGCCCAGGGCGGCGAAGAGCACGAAGCGCAGCGCGTCCGAGGGCTGGGAGGTCATCCAGTACACGATGCTGCAGTAGGCCACAGGGAACATGATCTGCAAGGACAGGCACTGGCAGTGAGCCCCTGGCAGCCAGGCACTCACTGACGCCCTGAGTGACACAGAAACGCGGGGGTGTCACAGATATGTTTTATGGAAAATTCTTTCCTTAGGGTTTTTCCTCCTGAGAAGCTGACAGGCCTCAGGAACAAAATGTAAACAATGATTATCTGCTGCTGTGGAATGCAACAGGTGCATCTGTGATTGGTCTCATGTGGTTGTTTCTAATTAATGGCCAATCACAGTCAGCTGGCTCAGACTCTCTGTCCAAGCCACAAACCTTTGTTATCATTGTTTCTATTCTGTTCTTAGCTAGCCTTCTGATGAAATCCTTTCTTCTATTCTTTTAGTATAGTTTTAATATAATATATATCATAAAATAACAAATCAAGCCTTCTGAAACATGGAGTCAGATCCTTGTCTCTTCCCTCGTCCTCAGACCCCTGTGAACACCGTCACAGGGGGGTTCCCATTAATCCACAGCTCTCAGCCTTTCCATGACATGACAGGGGTGGGATCTCTGTCTTTCTGATGGGCATTTAAAAAAGGATTCCACTCCCAACCCTTCACCCTCCTGTGCCTCAGACATAGTTTATGAAAAATCCTTTTGCTAGGATCTTTTCTCCTGAGAAGCCTCAGAGGAAAAGACAAACATTGATTATCTGCTGCTGTGGAATGCAACAGGTGCATCTGTGATTGGTCTCATGTGGCTGTTTTTAATTAATGGCCAATCACAGTCCAGCTGTCCAGACTCTGGTCAGTCACAAGATTTTATTATCATTCCATTCTTTTCTATTCTTAGCTAGCCTTCTGATGAAATCCTTTCTTCTATTCTTTTAGCATAGTTATAATATACCATTTTATTTTAATATAATATATATCATAAAATAATAAATCAGCTTCTGAAACATGGAGTCAAGATTCTCATCTCTTCCCTTGTCCTGAGTCCCCTGCAAAGACCACCACGCTGCCTGGAATGAGGCTTGGAGCGACTCAGGGCTGCCCTCATCACTCTGCACAGCTCCTGAAGGGTGCCTGTGCTCACCTGGGGCTGGGCTCTTTCTCCAGCAGCACTGACACAGCCAGAGCACACAGCCTCAATCTGCACCAAGGGAAATACAGGTTGGAGAGCAGGGAAAAGGTTTTTCCAGCAAGGGTGAGAAAGTTCTGGACTGGCTGCCCAGGGAGGTGCTGGAGTCCCCATCCCTAGGTGTGTTTAACAAAGCCTGGATGTGGCACTGGGGGCCAGGGTTCAGTTGAGCTGTTGGGCCTGGGTTGGACTCGATGGTCTTGAAGGTCTCTTCCAACACAGGGATTCTGTGAATTCTGATTCATCCCTGAAGCTTCACCAGACACATCTGGACATTTTCCCCACTATTCCAATGGATAAAATACCAGTACTAATCTTCTTGGCAAGAGGGCTCGTCATGCATGAACTGAAATGGTTTCTGTTTTATTGAAGAGTAGAGCATGTACCTGGAAAGGAACATCAGCCATGGTCTTGGCCAGGTAATAGGCTTTCAGGCTGTACCAGTAGTTCAGATGCTCTCTGAGAAATACTCCCATCTCAAGGGGAACTGCAGAGAACACAGATTATTCTGTCAGACTGGCAGGGTGCAATGCTGATTCACATAAAAACAACACAAATCTTGTTGTTAAACACGTAAAAACAAGATTTTTGTTTTACCCTAATAAAGAACCGTTATTCCTACTGCCGTATCTTTGCCCAAGAGCCTCTTAATTTCACAATTATAAAAATTCAGAGGGATAATCAAATCCTGCACTGCTGCAGTCCCAGAGTGGGACTGGAACTCCCAGGTTTGACAGAGTAGCAAAAGTTTCAGTGATTTGTAATGAGATATAAAAGGTCAGCCCCTAGAGCTGCTCACTGTTGAGACTATGGACTAGTCTACTCAGATGATGTGAACCTCTCCTAAAGAGGATTTTTCAATTAAAAGTGGTGTCAAAACTTAAAGAACTTGATAATTCTTTGTGGCCCAACAGGGAATCCAAACTAACAGCACTCCCAGAGCAGGTGTGAAATGGTCCATTCTGCAGGAGTTTGCTTCTGACACCACATGAATGAGCTGATTTTATGCAGGAATCATAACTTAGAAGCCTCAGATAAATTATTCCAACCTCCCTAAGCCCAACCACGAGCTCAGGGCATGGCTGAGCTGCACTGGGATAAGGAGAAATTCCAGTCCAGGACTGTGACACTGAACTGTCTGCGCTGGAAAACATTGGGAAAACTGGGCAGGGAGCAGTGCCACAGGCCAAGCTTGTTCCTGCTTGCACAGTTGTGTTTCTGGGGGTGCAAGGTTTATCCCCACACCTGTCTTAGAGGCAGAATCCCAAGTCAAATGCTGTCTTACACCAACCCAGACACATTCCAGCATTCCAGCTGTTGCAGATGTCTTTTCATGAAAAATCCTTTCCTTAGGATTTTTCCTCCTGAGAAGCTGGGAGGCCTCAGGAACAAAATGTACACAATGGTTATCTGCAGCTGTGGAATGCAACAGGTGCATCTGTGATTGGCCCATGTTGATGTTTCTAATTAATGGCCAATCACAGCCCAGCTGGCTCGGACTCTCTTGTCTGAGACACAAACCTTTGTTATCATTCTTTCCTTGCTATTCTTAGCCAGCCTTCTGATGAAAACTTTCCTTATATTTTTTTAGTATAGTTTTAATGTAATATATATCATAAAATAATAAATCAGCCTTCTGAAACATGGAGTCAGATCCTCATCTCTTCCCTCATCCAAAAACCCCTGTGAACACGGTCACATCCAGCAACCCCTCCCCGTGCTGTGACACAGCACCAGCACTCACAGGTGAGGACAGTGGGCATGAGAGCAGCAAACATGAGGAACAGCATGGAGAAAAAGAGGAATCCCGAGTTGCTGAGCACTTTCTTGGCCTCATTGCCAATGCCCAAGTAGAGCAATCCGATGAGCAGCCCAATGCCAATGTGCGAGGTAATCCTCAGGTGTGTCAGGACCTGTGGTAAGCAAAGAGTGGCATTAATCAGGGAGTCTGGGCTCAAAAACAGTGACAGTGTGGCTGAAATTGGATAGATTGCAGGAAGGGAGCACTTATGTCCAGAAAATCTTCTATAGAAACCATTGCGTGGCTTGGGTTGGAATATCACAGACACATTTTCTGAAAAATCCTTTCCTTAGGATTTTTCCTCCTGAGAAGCTGACAGGCCTCAGGAACAAAATGTAAACAATGATTATCTGCTGCTGTGGAATGCAACAGGTGCATCTGTGATTGGTCTCATGTGGTTGTTTCTAATTAATGGCCAATCACAGTCAGCTGGCTCGGACTCTGTCTGAGCCACCAATCTTTGTTATTCATTCTTTTTCTATTCTTAGCTAGCCTTCTGAGGAAATCCTTTCTTCTATTCTTTTAGTATAGTTTTAATATAATATATATAATAAAATAACAAATCAGCCTTCTGAAACATGGAGTCAGATCCTCGTCTCTTCCCTCATCCTCAGACCCCTGTGAAGATTTTACAATGAGATTTTTTAAGATTTTACAATGTGAATGTGAATTAACTCTTAACCATCACATTGGAAGGTTAAAGATCACCAAGTTCAATGCCCTGCCATGAGAAATGTTCATTTCCTACTGGGTGACAAAAATTATGAGTGTCCCACAAAAATTTCTTCCAGGTAATACAGGCAGGAACTGCAAATGCTGCAAGCTGAAATCTCCCTGTCTGACAATATCATGGAGCCACTGGCTCCTATTTACCAGGGGAAAGAGACTTTCTGACTAAAAGATAAATTTCCCCAGAGCAGAGGAGAAGCAGAAAAGGCATTTCAGGCTTGTGTAGACCCAAGTAACTTCATCAGGAATAAATTAGCTTTCTGTGCCTTCTCTGCAACACAGAATTCCCACAAGAGGCTTGGAAGAACAAAAGAAATAATAACATTGGGAACAACTGCAAGCCTTTAGAGTCGAGTAGGAAAAAAAATATAATAAAAACAACACTGTCCTTCAATCTGTGCATCAGCAAATCAGTCCCATTTCTCCTGATTTTAATTCATTAACTTAATTAATCCTTGTTGACAAACGTGCTTATAAAAAACAAGAAGGGAGAACAAGTTGTAGCAAAGTAAATTTTTATCTACTGATTTTCTGTTTCCAAAAATGAAGATTTTAAGTGGCAACATTACAGCACACTGAAGTTATTATCTCTGCCATCCTGAATTTTCTGGAAAACCTAATCTTGTGACACAGCACTACAACTTCCCACTCACTTTTCAGAGGATTAATAACTGTATAAGAGACCTGCCAGCACAGAGGGGATTTCAACTTTGGGTTTTTAGGCCAGGTGCTTCTGTGCAGAAAGCTGTCGTTGACAATGAAGATGGCAGAGTTAACAGCAAGGCTGAGATCAGCCTCTTCCCTTTGGAATTCTGTGATAATTCATGGGTAGGCTGCTGGACAGGACCTTTGAGGAGCCTCACACCCAGCTGGACAGACCTTTACGGCCACAAAAGTTATTATAACTCATTCTTACCGAGTCCCTCATGATGGTGAGGAAAGTCCTTTTGAAGAGGATGCAGAACTGGGTGAGGCAGCTGGCAGAGAAGCTGTGGCAGCCTTCTGTGGAGGAGGAGTCCTGCAGGAACACACACAGAACAAACCCCTTGCTCTGCAGCCTTGCCTCTCAATCACAAGAGCCCACTCACATCAGCTGAGCGCGCCCAGAGCCCCCTCCACCTAGGGAGGGTTTAAATGGGCTAAACCATGACACTCCCCCTGCAGAGATGCACAAATACCTCCTCAGAGGGCCGGTGCCACAGGAAGGGGTTCAGCTCGTGCTCCCCAGGCACGTCTCGCTTGTAGTCGGAGTCACAAATCCTCTCCCTGACCGCCCTGACCAGGCGGCTGCTCTGGTCCCCGTACTCGCCCGAGGCCACCTCCATCACTGAAACACACAACCTGGAGTCACTGCCTTGCTGGCACAGACATCTTCTCATGAAAAATCCTTTCCTTAGGATTCTTCCTCCTGAGAAGCTGACAGGCCTCAGGAACAAAATGTAAACAATGATTATCTGCTGCTGTGGAATGCAACAGGTGCATCTGTGATTGGTCTCATGTGGTTGTTTCTAATTAATGGCCAATCACAGTCAGCTGGCTCGGACTCTCTGTCCGAGCCACAAACCTTTGTTATCATTCTTTCCTTTCTATTCTTAGCTGGCCTTCTGATGAGAACCTTTTCTTCTATTCTTTTAGTATAGTTTTAATGTAATATATATCATAAAATAATAAATCAGCCTTCTGAAACATGGAGTCAGATCCTCGTCTCTTCCCTCATCCTGGGACCCCTGTGAACACGGTCACACTTTGCAAAGGTTGAAATTTCTGCTTTACAAAGGATGAAATTACTGCTTTGCAAAGGGTGAAATTACAAATTACTGCTTTGCAAAGGTTGAAGTTACTGCTGACCACGTACAAGCCTTGTTGTTAAATCCCCAATGCACTAACAAAACCCGATTTTAAATTTTTAAATTTTTTTAAATTTTAAATTTTTTTTAAATTTTTAAATTTTTTTTTAGTACAGGCTTTAAAACACTGTGTGCAAATTCATATCCATACACAAACATTTAAATTTTAAAAAATTTAATTTATCTTTCCATAAATCTTCAGAGAGATCTCTTCATCCTGGAAGTTAAATCAAGTTCAGAGGAAACACAGTGAATACAGAAAATAGAATAAGTCTATTTTTGTGGCACTTTGCAGTTTTTTTAAATTAAGAAACAGCACTGAAAAAACCCTCAATGCTCTAAGCTGTACTACTGCTCAAGATAAAAAGAAAACAAGCAGAATACTAAAGTCACTTTAAAAAGTTACTAATATTAGTTACTATGAAACACTAAAGAATACACTTTATCTTTCATTTCCTGAACCTGGACTTCTAACAGAGAGAAATATGCGCTAAATTGTACCACTAGGTGGCATTCAAATTACTTTGGAAAAAAAAATCTGATTACTTTTATTTTGGTTCATATATGGACAAAGCACATAAGAATATATGTACAGAATTATAAATCACACCATGGTTCCCTTTACCCTGAAGGTGATAAAATTATAAAATGATAAAATACAAAATAAATGAAATAAACCATTCAAGCTGTCCTTACCAAAATCTGCTGGGTTGTGGTAGGTTGGACAATTCAGCCCCAAATCTCTCAAGTAAGGGACAAGGTTTGTTACCTTCCCACGGTAAATGCACTGACCTTGACTTAGAACATAGAGCTGGAAAACAAGAAGAAAAGAAAAAAAAAAAGAAAAAAAGTAATAAGAAAAAAAGTGAAGTTGTCTCAACCAAGAATAACCAAGTTCTTTAAGTTTTGACACCACTTTAAATTGAAAAATCCTTTTTAAAGAAGGTTCAGATCCTCTGAGTAGACTGGTCCATAGTCTCAACAGTGAAAAGAAAAAAGAAGAAAAAGAAAATAGAAGAAAAAGAAACAAGAAAAAATGTGAAATAGCATCAAAATATTTGAACCTGTTGCCTGATAACATCTCCTTGTCCCTGTGGGAAGAACAGCTTGGGGAGATCTGTCACCACTCAAAATTAACTTTGCATGGAATCACAACTAATGGAAAATTCAGTGCCTGGAGCTGGAATTCTGCACACATTGCCTGCAGGACTTCAAACACATTAACACAGAAACACACTCATTGCAGCCTTTGGCACATGCTGAAAATAGGCAAGGAGCTGGAGAGCCAGGCCATCTAATTTCCACACATTGTGGATATTTTGGGCAGGGATGGAAGGAGAGCTGGGACAGCACAGCAAACAGCTCCATCACTCTCACTTTTAGCCATGATTTTGGCTTTAAATAAACCTCCCTGCCAGACTGGCAATCTGCAAGACTTTGTTCACCTGTGGTGGTGGAGGTTTTCTCTCAGCTCTCACAGCACTAATCTAAATCCTCTGACAAGACTAAAGTTCATTTTTTATATCTAATCCAAACACACATGGTCCACATGCCATTGTTGGCTTGGAGAGAAGTTCTCCAACTGACTTAATTTCAATTAATTTTCAATACTAAATTCAGTTATTATTATTATTTCATGTGAATTAACTCCTCAATCCACACCTGTGTATCTAGGATACACAGATATATTGCAGATATTGACACTGCAGCTCTCCTGCTTTTATATTGCTCTAATTTACTTCAGTGCAAGGAGCAGTGCTGGGTGAGGGCATCATAATCACCAATAATCATGATTTCACAAACCTAACAGCAAGATTCAAACATTCCACATAAATAAAGGAAATGGGCAGAGAAGAAGGGAAAAAACATAATAAAGAAGTATATTTTTCTGTTATTTATTTAATTTCTTTATATGATTTGAAGTCATCAACTGAATTATTCATGTTTTTTGATTAAAGAGGTGGTAACGGCTTTTTGATGGCTTTTTTTGTTTTTGATGGTTTTTGATGGTTTTTGATGGTTTTTGATAGTTTTTTGATTAAAAGGTGGTTATGCCTTGAAAGCACAAGCACCCTGAACTACAGATGAAGAGCAAATTTGAGAGCAATACCTGGTCAAAGAGCTCAAACAGCTTTGCACTGGGCTGGTGAATTGTACAGATGATGGATCTGCCACCCTGGGCCAAAGCCTTCATCAGAGAGACCACCTGAAAACATGATGCACTGTCCAAGCCACTGGGAAAAATAAAACCAAACAAGTTTGTTATCCACAGGCACCACTCAAAACCAGCACATACATGGTATCCCATTATTATCCTTTTAAAAATCTCTGTATAATTTTCATTTTATCATATGCCAACCTTATGTTTGTACTTCTCCATCAGGCTTTTAATTAATTTGCAAGCATGCCTGAGAATGAAAAGGAGTATTCTCACAGCTGCCTTAAGGGACTTCTGCATTTTAGAGCTGCAGATTTAAATGCTCCCAGCTTTAATGAACAAATACATATTCATAGCTTTGCCAGCCTCCTCCCAGGCTGACCACATTCATTACCAAAAGTCACATTTTAAAAGGTTTACATTCAAGCAGTCTTTGCTGGAAAAATAAAATCCATGCCACAATATTTTCATCTCTCTCTTTTCCTTCCTCCTGCAGTTTGTGAATGCTTTAAGTATTACTTACAGGCCCATAGTCCAGCAGTTTGTGTCTGCTTTACATATTATTTAGAACCCTACAATCCAGCAGTTTGTGTCTGCTTTAAATGTTACTTACAGCCCCACAGTCCAGCAGTGACCCAGGGCATCAAGAATCCAAATCAAATTATTTCTTGGCCTAATTCAGTGCTTGCAGACAACACAAAATGAGCCTTTTCCAAATATTTAGAAGGGAATAGCTTTTCTCTAGCTCTGTTCTACTATGCAAAACCATCTTTGCCTGTGTTTCATTTTTGGCCTTGCAGTACCTGGTGGGCTCATCAAAGAACATGACAGGGGGGTTGTTCACCAGCTCCAGAGCAATGGCCAGGCGTTTCCTCTGGCCCCCAGAGAGGCTCCCAGTCCTCGTGTTGGCACAGGTCAGCAAACCAAGGGCTGTCAGGATTTCCTTCACCTGGAGGGAGCAGAACATTCCAGGCTGTTGGAACATGCAAAACCTCCAGCCCCTTCACTGATTTTCATGGAGGCTGCAGACCACCTGACAACTTTGTCCCACCACCCACATAAAGCCTTTTTCCATCTAATGTCGCAGACATCTTTTATGGAAAATCCTTTCCTTAGGATTTTTTTCTCCTGAGAAGCTGAAAGGCCTCAGGAACAAAATGTAAACAATGATTATCTGCTGCTGTGGAATGCAACAGGTACATCTGTGATTGGCCCATATTAGATATTTCTAATTAATGGCCAATCACAGCCCAGCTGGCTCAGACAGAGAGTCCAAGCCACAAACCTTTGTTATCATTCCTTCTTTTTCTATTCTTAGCTAACCTTCTGATGAAATCCTTTCTTCTATTATTTTAGTATAGTTTTAATGTAATATAAATCATAAAATAATAAATCAGCCTTCTGAAACATGGAGTCAGATCCTCATCTCTTCCCTCATCCAAGAACCCATGTGAACACCATCACAATCTAATGTATTTATTAGTCATTTATTAGACTAATGTATTTATTAGTCATTTATTAGACTCAGTGTTCACAGGTTTTTTTCTGCCATTTACTGTTCTGACCCAAATTCTGCTTGTTTGTCCTGCATGACCTCACTCAGGTGAAAAAGGAGTGGAAATCAGCTCTTCTGTAGCTGTGTATTTATGGGTATGGCACTGACATCAAAAGAGCTTTGCTGCATGTGAGGGGTTCTTACACAGTGAAACCAAGAAGATTCTTTCAGTAGAGCTCTGGGGCTGTCTCTGCAAGGGATCTATAACAAAACCCAGTGGTTTCTGTGGAGCAGTGACCTGCTTTATCTCATCTCCCCTCCACAGTCTCCCCTTTCAAGTGCATCGATTGATTTCAGGTGTTTTCATTCCACTCAGGGTCAATGCAGTTGTCACAGGGACTCTCAGATGTTTGGGATTCCCTCAAGGCACAGCCTCAGGAAGGGCACAGCTCGTCCCAGGGCTTTTGGAACAAAAGGAGAACAAGCCCAGGCTCTAGGATTTGTTTCAGTGACTAGATCTGGGCTGGTATTCCTATAGGAATGGCTCTTTGGCTTCAATAAAAGCATGGACACAAAAATGGGAGAATCCATGAGCTACATTGCTCATTCAATTAACAGTGAAAGCATGGACACAAAAATGGGAGAATCCATGAGCTACATTGCTCATTCAATTAACAAACCCCACCACTTCAAAGGCAGAAAGCAGCCCAGACATTTAATACTTCACTGAAGTTTAGGAAACAGAGCCCACCATTTGCCAAAGCATCAACTGCTTGGATGGAGAGAGTTTTCCAGACAGAATGCCTGACCTGGTGAAAACTGGTGATACCAACCAGGGCCTGACCCTTTGCTTGTCCTGATTTTGATTTCCAGGAGTTCTCTCTCCCAGAAAGGGGGAATAAAAAAATAACAAAACCCACTAAGCCTTGTTTCTCAGAGAAAAAGCCCAATTACCTCATTCCCTTTATTTCTGGGAAGGGTAAACAGGACTCAGGCAGCACAAGCAAGGACAGCTAGAAACATAAACTGTGGTTCACCTGAGGATTTTCATTGTCCCTGCTTTAAACAGAGTCTGCAATCCTGCTAGCACAAGTGTATAAATTCATAACATTTTTCTATGATAAACATTTACACTCCAATTTACAACAGTAAAATTAATTATCTTCTGCACAGGTCAGTAACATGAACTAGAAAATTCTTCTAACATGTGTTGAATAAACACAGCACAGATTTTAACTCAAAGAGCTGCTTGTAATTACAGTGACAGTGTGAACAAGTGAATTAACTTGCTTGGCCTAACTTCACTAAAGTGTAAATGAACTAAGGCTTCCAAAGAACAATTAAGTCAACAGCTGTTTCTATATAAATTTATTTTCCAATAAGAAAACAACCTGTGTTTGTTTTCTTCACAACAAGTTGATTCCTGTAAGTTTCCCTTTTTGATTTTCAAGGATTCTTTTGAGTCTGAAGAAATGCCCAATTGCTCCAATTTGGAAATAAACACAGAGAAAGGACAGTCACAAAAACAGCTGATCTACCTAGGAAGTTGCCACAGGTTTCATATTTCAGGAAAAGTTGTGCTTTTCCCCATGGATTAGAGGAGCTGAGTTCCTCGTGCAGGTCCAGCTGGGTGATTTATCTCACCCCACATGAGATGCACACTGGAGAACCCAAGGTGAATTAACAGGAATCCTGCAGAACCTGGGGATTTGTTCCGGTAAACCTTTCACAATTTTCCAGTCTTGTACTGAAAGCAGCTTTCATGGAGGCTGCAGTGAACATTCCCTCCTAACGCACATGTCAGCCTAGAGAATATGAATTATTCTGTCACTGCAAGTCCACTGCAGTTCAATGTTAGATAAAAATGTCTGCTTTACAGAGCTCACTTCTTGGCATCCCCCAAATTCCAGTTTGATGGGCACTGTACATACCATTTCTCTCCTCCCTTCATCTTTCTCTTGAAGTTTCAGATGAGCAGATACCTGGAATGCAAAACAGTGGAATTTGATTTTTGAGCTGGTCTGAAGCACAGCCACCACTTAGAGGAGAGGTCTCAGGCCCAGCACTCCAAGGTACCACTTAAACAGCTTCTGTCAACCCAGTCAGAAAATCTGAACTGGAACTACAATGTTCCAGTCACAAGCATCACATTTTTCTGTGCAGTAAATAACTGAGTTTAATTTGACTTAGGCAAAGCACCCAACAGAAAATGTATTAGAAAAAATACCATCCACCACCCATTCTGCAACTCAAAGAGCTTTACAGGAAGATGGGAAAGTGACATATTTTGCACACCCAAAAACTTCCCAGATAATCCCAGAAACACAGTTTATTTGTGCTTCATTCTCACTATAAGGATAACTGAACTCTGCCATTCTCCAGCATGCAAACAAGTGAGCACAGAAATAAATAATCTTGTGAAAGATGTCATCTGCTGTCCTGAAAGGCAGCTCCACAAAACAACATGATTAACCTTTATTAAAAGCAATTAAACTGTTAGGTAATTATTTTTTGTCAGAGCCTTGATTGATTAATTTTAGACAGCAGCTATAATCTGGGCCAAATTCTGCAAAAGTGGTCCCGTGGGATTCTGATGAAAACATTCAAGTAAACAAAAGAGACAAAAAAACTTCTCCACAGAAAAGAGCCTTTGCAGAAAATCAGGCACATAAAACCTGGAGTGATTTCTTCTGGCCTCAAAATTTGTGAATTGAGCTGGCACAGTGTGAGCAACCTGAGCTTTGTTTTGATAACAATTTCTGAGAAAAACTGGCTCATTTCTCAAGCTGAGCTACAGACACTTCCAGACTAACTGGTCAAGCTGGCAATTCATAAACTTGCTGATGTAATGCAAAACAATGAGAAGAATTAACATTTCCTGTGCATCCTGGACTTACTCTGCTCCTGTTTTCTTGCCCATGAAGAAATGAAAGAGATTTTATAAAATGCCTTAATTTTTAAAAGAGGCACAAAAGAGTAGAAGTGGCAGAGAGATCACACTGAAGTGTAAATACCAGTTTTCAGTCAGAACATGAAAGATGGGGAGAAAGAGAGAGAGAGATGAGGTTACTCATCCACCACCCAAGCAAACAGATGGTCTCTACTGTCACAGACATCTTTCATGAAAAATCCTTTCTTTGGGATTTTTCCTCCTGAGAATCTGACAGGCCTCAGGAACAAAATGTAAACAATGGTTATCTGCTGCTGTGGAATGCAGCAGGTGGATCTGTGATTGGCCCATGTTGGTTGTTTCTAATTAATGGCCAATCACAGCCCAGCTGGCTCAGACAGAGAGTCCAAGCCACAAACCTTTGTTATCATTGTTTTTCTATTCTTAGCTAGCCTTCTGATAAAATCCTTTCTTCTATTCTTTTAGTATAGTTTTAATATAATATATATCATAAAATAATAAATCAGCCTTCTGAAACAAGGATTCAGATCCTCATCTCTTCCCTCATCCTAACACCCCTGTGAACACGGTCACACCCTACAAAGGCTGCTTTGTGAAGAATTTCAGGTTCCATTCTCTAGATCTAAGGAGCAGACACTTAGATCTTCTTCCAAATCACAATGCTGGGCACAAACTGGAAATTATAAAGCCAAAGAAGGATGAGCCTGAAATGGAATTGAAGGCATCACCAAATTCCAAGAACTCTCACTGAGCAGGACCGGACAGGGATAACATCTTGCGGCACTGCCAGGGGTAGGACCAAGGGCACAACACAAAGCATTCTCCATTTCTCCAGCTCAGATAAATGAGAGCAAAGAACCAATCTCACCATCATGGCCTCCTGGACAGTGAGGTGAGGAAGGAGCATGTCGTCCTGCATGATGTAGCAGGAGACCTTGCGGAAGGAGCGCAGGTCGCGGGGCTGCCCGTTGATGAGGATTTCTCCTTTCATCCCCGTCTCCCTGAAACCAAACAACAACAGCCAGAGGTGAATCTCACCATCACTTGTAGTCTCAAATGACTGAGCACCTGGAAGTCTTTTTCTCTGTGAAATAAATTTGGTAGACTGGATAGAAATTAAATTATTTCCTGATTATGCTTTCTTTCATGTAAATCTTCATGCCACAATGCTGAAAATTTTACTTAAAATGTATGCTGTCATATATAAACCTGAAGAAATATCAAGAAATTAAATTTAGGGGTTTTTTTAGTTTTCTCTATCCTGTTCCTTATGCCCCAAATGACAAGACAGACACACCTTGTATGGCCATATGTCACAGACATCTTTTTATGAAAATCCTTTCCTTAGGATTTTTTCCTCCTGAGAAGCTGAGAGGCCTCAGGGACAAAATGTAAACAATGATTGTCTGCTGCTGTGGAATGCAACAGGTGGATTTTTGATTGGCCCATCTTGGATGTTTTTAAGTAATGGCCAATCACAGCCCAGCTGGCTCAGCTCTCTGTCTGAGACACAAACATTTGTTATTCATTCCTTTCTATTCTATTCTTAGCTAGCCTTTTGAGAATCTTTTCTTCTATTCTTTTAGTATAGTTTTAATGTAATATATATCATAAAGTAATAAATCAGCCTTCTGAAATATGGATTTAAATCCTCATCTCTTCCCTCATCCTGAGACCCCTGTGAACACCGTCACAGCCATACAAGACAGGATTTAAAAAATGAAACACAGTCACTGCATTTTGGGGAAGTAGACATCAACATTATGAAGTGGTGACTAAAAAGAGTCGATTTTTCAAGTGTTTATGTGATTTTAAAAAACATCACAAACATAAGACACTGAGTCAGATTTGTTACACTGCCAAAAAAGGAGGTTTTCTTTATATGTGTGTTTTTTGGATTTTAAATTGCTTTTTATTTTTGGATCAGACCTGTTAAGAGATAAATCCCAAGTGACCAAAACAGGACACAGAGGAAAAAAGATAAGCAAAAAGAATCTAATTCAAAATCTTTGAAGTGCCTGTTTTTGACAAACTCTAGGCCAAAATTTCTTCTCCTGTTGTCTCCAAGGAGCCCTCAGGCTCAGTGATTTTATCTTAACTTGGGTTTTTCATTGGAACTGACCTGTATCCTGCCAGAATATTCATAAGTGTCGACTTCCCAGCTCCTGAAGGTCCCATAATTGCAACGAGTTCTCCGCTGCTGAACTTCCCTGAAATCCCTTTCAAAAGGGTCTTATAACCTGGAAGAGGAAAGAAAAGTTCACTGAACCCTCAATCACATCTGGGGTGCCATGAAAGTTCATTTCCACTGGATATTGATGACAAAGAGGCATTAACAGCCACCTCCTGAGAGGCTGATGCCAACATCAGCACACTGCAACATCAAAAATAACTATCAAAATAATTATAAAAAATAACTATCAAATTAACTATCAAAATTAACTATCAAAAGCCTAATTGTGAGCAGGAGCAGCAGTTTCTGCCATGACACAAATGGGATCACAGGGTCTCACACCCTTGCCTCACTGCAGGATGGTTTTTAAACAGGGCTATGAAGGCTTGCTGCCATTCTCCAAGTGGCAGCTATACAAAATAGTAAAATGCTATAATACTATAAATACTCTGAGGCCTCCCAGAGTATTTTAGCAGGATGTTGTTAAAATATTCAACACTCCAAATTAACAGTCTTGGAGCAGGCTGCCCTCCAATCACTGCAGTTTCAGTGCCAAAATTCTGCCCTCTCACCAAAGCAGCAACTTCTTAGAGAGAGCAACAGCTGAGATCTCAAAGGCCTTTTTCCAAAAAAGAAATGGAAAAAATGTCCTGTGTGACAAGAAACTCAGCCAAAGGAGATACACAAACTTCTTCATTCTCTTGCCACAAGAACTCTCTCACCAGAGGAACTCCAAAGACTTTTCTAGACAGGGACACTGACCACAGGAATTCTGAAAACAATTTCTAGGGAGAATTCCTACTTAAGAACATGCAGGGTGTTTTTCTCATTCAGAATAATCCATTCCAAAACTTTATGCCACCATAATTACATCCTCAGGCAAGGATCTTCTAGAGTGACACCACCACCTTCTTCAAGCATTTCAACTTATTCCTGATTTAATTATCTTTGCCAGTAAACCTTTATTAAAAACCTTAACTTCATGTTATTCTAAGTGTAAGCAAACTGTGCTCCAAGGAGAATTCTAGATTTGGACCAATTGCATCCACCTTGCCCTGCAGGATTTCCATGTAAAGGCATAAAAGCTGTGTAAGGAAGATGGGGAGAGCCCTGACCAGCATTTAAATTTTTCAGGATCTCTTTCCCTCTTGTCTTTTTTTTTTTTCTTTGCTTGCTTACTTTATTTTAATTACCAGTGCTTCTAGCTAAAGCTTCTAATAATAAAAAAATGCTAAGTAAGGTGTCAAAAGCCAATCTCACATGTTGGCAATGTTTATGTGGTTCAATTAAAACTAAAACAGAAGGGTGGAAAATCCATTTAAATGCAGAGTCAGGGTTTGGCAATCCATTTTGCCACCCTGGTGGACATGCAGGCAGGATGTGAATTCCTCATGTAAACTATCCCAGAGCTCTCATGATCAGCACAGGCTGTAGCTGGAACATAGAAATACTGTAAAAAGCCTCACATTGTCTGCAAGCTCCTAGGAAAAAAGAATTGTGGGTTATCTCCTGATTTCTCTTTCTTCCTAACTTCATTATTTGTTTTCGTCTCCACTTATTCTCTCTAAATTTTCTTCTTTTCACCATTCTTGATTCACACTCCTCCTATGCCACAAGAGAGCAAATTTTGCACCAAAACCATTGTCATGCTGCTGTGGGGTCTCCCAAATCCTGTTCCCCAGCACACCCAGCCCAGGGACAATTCAATAGCCACAAAACCTCTCTAGAAATATCTGACCCTACAATTTTCATGGCAGATGTCCTAGAAAATGTAACTGACCAAATGGACCAAAAAAACCTATTTTCTTGAGTGCCTTGTGGTTGGGATTTTTTTTTTTTTTAAAACAGGCCAGTAATTTTTCACTATAAATCTTGTCCTGGACCTAGAGGAAACAACTTGTTTGGAAGGCAGCAGGGTCACAGGTACAGAAATAGCAGAGTATCCACAGAACCTGTTCATCGCACCAGTCCTGAAAAGGAAAGCAAGGACAATCTATCAAAAGGAGCAGCAGCTCTGAAGAGAAATCCACGGCACCCCACAAGGTCAGGCAGCTTGTCCTTCACACCAAGGTCCCCATGCACAGCAGCATCTGAAGGCAAAGGGCAGGAACAATCAGGCCTTTCAGGCAATGTTTAATAAACTGGAAATGCAGGAACAAAGTCCTTCATTCTCCCTCTTCAGTGTAATGAGAGCCTGCTCCCTTCCCAACCCTGCTAAACCTGTAAGAGACTTAAATATCAGAATGTGCCACCAATTATTTGCATTGTGCGCCAGGCAGTAAATATTGCACAAACTCGTGAGGGAGGATAAAAAATGTGCACTGCCATCCACGAGGGGCATGCAAGCTAAAATACAGGCTCAGCAGCTGCAAACATGTGGAAACATAGATATCACTGCCTAAAACTGAAACCTTTCCTCTCCCTATACAGGCTCAGCAGCTGGAAACATAGATATCACTGCCCAAAACTGAAACCTTTCCTCTCCCTATGTGGGACTGTGAGATTTAACATTACACACATTAAAGTCACTTTTCCAGAGTTTCACAAGTGATGATTGGTTTATCTTTAACTGCAGTATCTTCCCCCTCATGACCTTCACGTGTTCCTGCCCCTCTGATAGAGGTTTCCATTTTAAGTATCCTGCACACGCTGTTAAATCAGAGCAGGGCTCATCACAGAGACACAGAATCAGCCTGGAAAAGACCTCCAAGATCATCAAGTCCAAGCTTTGACTGATCATCACCCTGTCAGTTAGGACAGAGGGCCACATCCAGTCATTCCTTGGACACTTCCAGCCCCTTCCTGTGCCTGGCCACCCTTTCCATGGAGAAATCCTTCCGGAAATTCTCAGCAAGTCATTTGCAATACAGTAGAGAAATATGCTTTAAGAAGAAATAAAAGAAAAGCCCCAGAACTATGAATATTAGATTAGGATCCTAATCACTGGCATTTTAAGTTGCTACCGACCCAAACTCATCTCCTCCTTTGGCTGGAAGTGCATAATAAGCTTTTTCCACTACAAAGGTTAATTTAGCAAACCCACAAAAAGATTTGACACTGTGGCAGCAGTGTGGTGCCCCAGTATAATCCTTTATGAGGAATTAAAGTCCCCTGAGCAACCACAGTCTCCCCTTTCAGAATATTGAGGCTAATCTTCAGCTGAATCAGTTGACCTAAAACTTCTATACGGGGCCACATGTGCTTCACGAGAAACAGATTATGCATTTGGAGGGGATTGTGTTCTCACTGTGAGGGCCTGTTCCACATCCACCTGCCATACATCAGGGAATTCTCACTGCCTTCGAGCCCAGCAGCCCTGTCATCCTAAAGTTCCAAAGTTCTTCCAAGCCTTCTGGTGTTTACATTTTTGTAATGGAGTTTCTCACGCACTTTTCATGTAAATAATGATTGTTCTGCATTCCTTTCTGGGGGAGGAGAGAATTGGTGGTCAAACTGTTGGTTTGACCAGTGTTTTTCACACTGCCTTTGGACTCGACTTACACCAAGAGCAAGTGTACAATTGTGACTTTCTCCTTTTTCACTTCTCCTAAAATTGTTTCAATTTCCAATGGAAATCAGCCTGGATCTTTCAGTTTTCCTATGTCCCCTCCTGAAGTTTCTGTGACATAACCACACAGCCTTCAAGTGACGTTTACAGGATGATTACCAATATATATTTTAAAATATATATTTAGGGGCTGATACATGTGGGAATTTTAACATCATTTTTCAAGAACTACTTAAAATACGGATTTGACATTAACACGCCATCACAAACCAGAACAACCCCTCAGCAAATTTCTCAACCCCTTAAAAATAGACCAGAGCAGAAACAAATCCAAACTGAAACAGAAAATTCTAGCGACACAAAAATTTTTGGTCTTAATTTCACCTCAAGTTACATTCTGGAGCTCAAATGCTTCTCCAGAGGAGCAAAATTTGTTTTGTTCTCCCATGTCAGGATTTCCCATGAACTCAAATGTGAGGTGCAACAGTGGTCACAGGGCTCCAAGGATGAGGGAAGAGACGAGGATCTGACTCTATGTTTCACAAGGCTTGATTTATTATTTTATGATATATATTACATTAAAACTATACTAAAAGAATAGAAGAAAAGATTTCATCAGAAGGTCAGCTAAGAATAGAAAAAGAAAGAATGATAACAAAGGTTTGTGGCTCGGCTCTCTGTCAGAGTCAGCTGACTGTGATTGGCCATTAATTAGAAACAACCACATGAGACCAATCACAGATGCACCTGTTGCATTCCACAGCAGCAGATAATCATTGTTTACATTTTGTTCCTGAGGCCTTTCAGCTTCTCAGGAGGAAAAATTCTAAGGAAAGGATTTTTCATGAAAGATGTCTGCAACAGTGAGGCACTGTGATATTTGAGCAGATTCTCAGCTGAACCTCCTGCCTGGCCTGAACAGATCTCCCTTCCAGAGATGGGATTCCCTCCCTGCCTGGCAGCAGCACAGACCCCCAAAAGCCCCTTTTTTCAATGAATGCACAGAGGTGACCTCCTGTCTCTGATGAAGACACTAAGGGAGCTCTCCTTGCTCAAGTCAACCAATTTTTTTTACTATTGGAATCAGCAAGGGAGAAACATTGATAGTTTTATCTTCCTCATGGATTTTACAGAGATTTATGGGGAGATCTGGTTTTCTGATTAATCATAATTTCTGTGCCATTCCCACAGAAATTATGATTAATCTGGAAGGAAGCAAACCATCCCCTCCTCATCCTCAGGGCAGGAATAATGCTTCAGGATGTGTCTGAGTCAGCAGCAATTAAAACACAACCAAAACCCACTCCTACCTCATAGTGAATTTCCTCAGGTAAACACCACCTCTGGGTTTTTTGACTGAAATGCTTCATTCATTTGCATTTCATTGTCAGTAATCCTCGTTTGTCACTCAGGGAAATGCCACACAGACTCGTGGAAGTTTCTAGGTGCTCTAACCTATTTCTGCCTCCATCTGTGGGCACCCAGACCCCATCTCAGGTCCCAGGTGAGCACAGCAGGCTTTCCCTGCCTGCTGCAATTAGAGCAGGATTTGCCCTTCC